TGCAGTACGCAGCCGGGTGTCTGACACATGCAGAAACACATCACCATGTTTACAAGTATCCAAACCAATCTAAGAATTCCATGCATCCACCTATACATGGAAATTCCAGAGATATTTATTGGAATAAAATGCTCACTCTATCCCTGGAGGGACGTACCCTGCTTACCCATCCTTTGGTTGAGATGTCCAACCGAGCTCCTCTCTGCCTGTTCAAGTGGATGCTAAAGAATATAATGGCGCTATTTGAAAAGAAAACTGAATTTTTCTGTCCCAGTGCCCTGACCAACAAGAATAATAATATTAATTCTTGAATTTGAGATAGCGCCTTATCACATCTTCGAAATGTCTCAAAGCGCTTCACAGAATATACTGTAAAGTGAATTGACTGTATGTTTTGTGGGCAAAACGTGGCAGCCAATTGCACACAGGAGTGTCCCACAAACAGTCATGGATTGAAATGACCAATTTATTTATTTTTTTAAGGAATTATTACCCCTGGAAAAGCGATCTGCCAATTTACTAACAACCAGGTTCCTTTTTACTGCTAGGTCAACAGAGGCGTGTGGAGTAAGGAAACCTGTCTGTTTGCGAGGCGAATGCCCTAACCACTGAGCTACAGGACTCCACAGTCCCCCAAAATAAAATTGGTCACTCATTCCATGGTTGCTTATGAGACATTGCAAACTGGTGCCCAGTTCTGTCCACAGAATACATAGTCACTCCACTTTACAGTATATCCTGTGAAGTGCTTTGAGACATCTCGATGACATGGAAAGGCACTTTACCAAGTGCAAGGATTAAATCTAATTCCGGAAAGTATATGATGCAGGTTGGTAAGAGCCAAGGCTTGGGAACAACAACAACAACAACAAGATTCCATTTATAAAGCGCCTTTCACGTCAGGAGGACGTCCCAAGGCGCTGCACAGTTGGGTCATGACCCGAGCAGGGGGGAAATGGTCAGGGTGAGGGGAGGGAAGGGAGGGAGGGAAACCCAGAATGTGCGTTTAAGTCTAACCAGCTAAAACTGCATAGGTTGCCATTGAAAGCACTGTCTGGCAAGCTTTCCCGCTGCTTTTCCAGTTAGGACCACCCTACCAATTGGGGATTTGGCTTGCAGGATTATTGAGAGCTGGATAGGAAGTGTCCTGCCCCCAGTGACTGGCCTTGCACTTCTAAGTCCTGCTGATGATGGGCCTAGCTGTGTTGACATTAACGGTGCCCTGGAATACAGCAGACCCATCTGGCTCAGGAACTATACAACCAAGACCATCCCAGAAGGTTGGCTCGGATTCCACCTGAACAGGCAGAAAGAACCTCAATGACATTTCATTGCCAGACATGTCATCCGGGAGCCAGTTCGACTCCAAGAGACCCCACTTAACGTACCCCCAAGGAAGATAGTCACCAGTTAGCGACCTACAAAAATACAGAAGTGCATTGCAATGGTGTTGCGTGTTTCAACAAATACAGCAAGTGGGATGAGCTTAAGTGAGCGTTGCATTAATTGATGTATCTCATTCACGTGGGCCAGTTAAATATAATAGCATTACAGAATGGAGCTGAATATATGTTTCAAATTCCCCTGCTGCGTCTCATATAAGGCGATTGCTTGTTAATAATTGGACTTTACTAGAATAGCATTTGAAGCAGCTGGATTTATCCCCGGTATATAATAATAATAATATAATAATCTTTGCATTTGATATAGCGCCTTATCATGGCTTCGAGACGTCTCAAAGTGCTTCAAAAAATATACTGTAAAGTGAATTGGCTATATATTTTGTGGGCGAAACACGGCAGCCAATTGCGCACAGCAGTGTCCCACAAACAGTCATAGACTGAAGTGACCAAGTTATTATTATTAGTTTTTTTTGAAGGAATTATTACCCACGAAAAAGCGATCCGCTAATTAACTAACAACTAGGTTTCTACTTACTGCTAGTAAACAGGCGTGTGGAGCAAGTTTCGCCCTGCCGGGAATCAAACCCAGATGTCTTGCTTGCAAGGCGAGTGCTCTAACCATTGAGCTACAGGACTCCACGGTAAACTATGAGTCATTGCTTCTGAATGTATGATTGCAGGAGTTAGGGGAATTCAGTAAAGCCACATTGAGGTGTACTGTAAGAACAGAATAATTATAACAGCAATAAGAAAAAAAATTATAATTAAAATAATGCTTCCATCAAATGCAAGTATTATTATCATTTGATATAACGCATTTCATGTCAGGAGGACTCCTCAAAATGTTTTACAGGATCTATGATGTGTAGTGAGTGTACATTTTGTGGGCGAACACCAGTATTTATACTGCAATCTGTGTATTGATCCCAGCTGACTAAACTCCCAAGTTGGAAAACTTTAAATGCTAAACTGTACTGAAAATTTATATTCTTTTTAACAATTGTGGGTGAATCAGATGATCTACCAAAATGTAGGCATTGTTAGGTTGACCTGCTGCAATAAGTTGTTTTCCCAGCCACAGTACAGTATATAAGAATTTTATATTACAAGATCACAAGAGAGGTCTGGATGAAGAAGACTTTTTTCCAAATACTCACCCACCATCAAGCTGTTTGTTAAATGGGTCAAGTGTCCTGGCATTAATTACCTTTAATAATAATAATAATCCTTGCATTTGATATAGCACTTTTCACGTCGGGAGGACGTCCCAAAGCTCTTCACAGAACACACTGTAAAGTGAATTGACTGTATATATTTGTGGGCGAACGCGGCAGCCAATTGCACACAGCAGTGTCCCACAAACGGTCGTCGATTGAAAATTACCAATTTATTATTGTTTTTGGTTTTGGAGGGATTATTATTAGGCTCTGTGTGGAGTAAGGAAACTTGCCCAAGGTTTCGCGTTGTTACTCCTGGTAAAGAAATACTTCCCGGTGTTTTTCCTGAAATTGCCCTTTGCAACCCTGAAACTATAACACCTTGTTTTGCTGTCTTGGAGTATCTGATAGTATTGGGTTTACTTTTTCAATCTTATTTAAAATCTGATATGCCTCTATAAGGTCCCATCTGAGACTGTCTAATTATTGCTCATAACTCATTTAACACTGGAGTCGTCCTCATTGATCTTCTTTGCATTGCCTCTAGAGTTTTGACATTCTCCCTTGTGTCTCAGTGACTGGAACTCTACGCAATTAACTAATTTTCCCACTATGTATTGATGTGTAGCTCTATATATTTTTCTCTTTTTTTGAGTTTGTCTTATCTCGAAAATGAATCAAATTGAAATTATACCCTAGGATTTAAAAGAATTTAAAATGTACAGTTATAATTCATGACTTGTTTGATTTTAAAGCATGAGGAAACATTTTTCACCACCAAAGACAACTTTGTGTTTCGAGAGACGAGTTTTAATTTCTGCACCGTAGAAAATTCATATCACTTGAAGGGAGAACATTGCATTGTGTGACATCCTTCAGATCGGATGTTAAAGCAAAGTCTCATTTGCCTGTCCTTAAGTAGACATCGAAGGTTCCATGACAACTTTTAAACAGAAAAAGGAGTTTCTCCTACTGTCCTAGCAAACAATCCTCTTGATTAGATCAGGAGTCTTGTAGCATATTGGTTAGAGCACTTGCCTCGCAAGCAAGAGGACCTGGGTTTCATTCCCGTTACGGCTGAAACTTTAGGCAAGTTTCCTTACTCCGCACGCTGCTGTTTATCTAGCATAAGTAGGAACCTATTTGTTAGTCAATTAATCGCTTTTTTAGGGGTAATAATCCCTTTAAAAAATGTGGTCACTCAATCCACAACTATTGAGGGACACTGTTGTGGGCAATTGACTGTACATTTTGCCCACAAATTAATTCACTTTACAGTAGAAGCACTTTGAGACGACTCAATGACATGATAAGATGCTATATCAAACGCAAGGATTATTATTATTATTAATCGATCATTAACTTTGTACCTGTTTGTAGGACCTGTGTGCCCAAAATAGTTGTCACATTCGCCTACAAAAAACTGTTATTTAATTTGATAGTAATTAGTGTAAAGCACTTTGAGACGTTTCGACATAAAAAGTTCTTTCTATCTCACCTCACATTACAGTGCCACAACATCACAAAAGTGATACCTATTAATTGCTGGTGCCCAAAACAATTATGCACAAATCGAGTCTTTAACACATTTGGAGCTCTCTATCACCTCTGTACTAATGGGGCCATTGTGCCAATTGGCAAGATCTTAATGTAGCATTTATTTTCTACCATCTGTTGTCAGAAAGCTCAGTCTTGCTCCAGTGCTGTGAGCAGCCACTTTTTCTATGTCTGGTTCTGCCGTCGCTGTACACTGCTCATACAGTGTGAAAGAACTGTGAAACACAGCTGTTAAATTCACAGAATGGCGGCTCCTTAAAGTGACTGGTTCGAACTCCTGCTAATAACATAATAATAATCCTTGCGTTTGATATAACGTCTTGTCACTTCATTGAAATGTTTCAAATCGCTTCACAGGATATATTGTAAAGTGGATTGCCTGGAATTGGGGGGGGTCGAAATCCCCATATGCGGTAAATGGAATAAGTACAACTAAGTATAAAAATATGTATCACCTTTAATTTAACTTGTGTAATGGATGCAAATAGTTCATTTTAGTATTTCTGGTTTACATGGTTGCTTTCTCCTTTCTGTCCTGTTTGTATTGCATGTTGTCTTCCAATCCATATTGCTTAAAAAAAAATGCCTTAGCAAGGCAGAATTCCCTCTCCTATCCTAACTGGTTTCTGTAGCCCAAAGAACTGCTGTATTTATTCACTGTGGCGTGAATCAGAATCAATTTATACCAACATTTATTTTGGTAGATGTCGTATGAGCAATATTTCCCAAGATAACGATAATGTGAATAAACATGTTTCTGCACTTTCGTGTGGTTGAGTCACACAGGGTTGAAAGGGAGATGAAACTAAACAAAAATGTTCAATGTGTGGGTAAATTTTATTGCATAAACACCTTCATTATTCCATTTGGTTTCAATCCTCAGACTCTTGATCGCAGAACTGCCATCAGAAGATAGTCAAGATGAAGATAATCCATATGACTACAGGAAACTGCTTCGTAAAACATCCCAAAGGCATCGTCTTATCAAACAGTTTTAGCTTAATGACTTGCAGCCTCTTAATCTTGCAGCCTTTTAAAATATGTTGCTAATGTTATTATCCCATAGGTTACTCTTATGTTCATACTGTGTAGCTGCAGTTACACATGTTATTCCTAAGCTTTGCTTTACCTTAATCATGAGATAACAAACAGTGTGTAAACATCATTACATTCCTGCATTAAATACGAATCTGTATCTTTCCATGGTGATACTTATTGTTGTTGTGAAAATATGCAGCCAAATACACAGTATTGATGTTTAACATGGTGAATACATGAAATTGGTTAATTTACTTGTGGTACAATAATTTTTTAAAAAGGGGTGTGATAAAACTAAAGAAAGCAAAATGTAAAATAAAGTGTAGATTTTTAAAGAAATGTGTCTGATACTGATGCTTTGTTTATTGAGTGAGAGATCCTCTGTGTTCTCCCTTTCTCCTTCTTGTCGGCACCAATCTATGAACTCCCTGACAGCAAATACATGCGGAATATATAAAGCATCCAGGCCATCGCTATTCTTAAGACCACTTTAGTGACTGAGGAACAAAGTAAAGATGGCCAATGCTCTGTAAAGTAACCTCTCAGACTTTCCTTTTGCTTTAAGTTTACATGTAATATGAAACCAATCACAGTGTAGCTTAGTTTCCAAAGCAATAACATACCTAAGGGTTGAGATGACCTTAGTAAACCACTCAAGCTTCACTCTTGCATTTTATGACATCTCAACCTCCTGATATGTTGCACAGTCTCGGAAAGCAGTGCAGATGCTGCGTTATACGTAGCACTGTCAGAAAGAGGGTTCCTTTCGTAACAACGGTTCATTTAATTTCTCTGACATGTAAATGTGTCAAATAAAATAAGAAAGCAAACTAGAAAATAATACATCTGTCGACGTACATTTAAGGATTTCGGAACCATTTAAAATCTGCCAGGCATAAAATTAAAGAGATCACAATCATATTTCTAAGAAGCTTGGAAGGAAGGAAAATAGGAATCCATGCAACTGAACACATCTGCTCTATGGTGGCCATGTTTGCCCACAAAATGCAATCGCTACACTTGACAGTAATTACTTGTGAAACACATTGAACACTTTCAAAGGATTTAATGTAATTAAATCCTTTTAAGACTGTGGATTGTAATGTGAAAATAACCGCTCTAAGATTTCCCAACCTGTACATGGATCGAGGAACTTTACTTTCTGGTAAAGTCATCTGCTTTCTACTTAATCAGCACTGGCTTCAGGATGGAGCTGTGCAGTTCATTTTTTTATGTCCAGTTTCTCGAGGTCAAAGGATGGTTTTGTGTGTCTGCAATTGGCGTTAGACAGGAATAGTAATCAATTACAATCCAGTCTGGAATAGTTAAGTTTGAAAATGACCAGAATATTAACTGTAATAGGAGTCACGGAGGCCATTCAAGAAAATAGAATACAATACAAAATTGCATTTACATAGCGTCTTTCACATCGGGAGGACGTCCCAAGGCACTGGACAGTCAAGGATTTGGGCCCGAGCTGTTCCTTCCTACTCCCTTAGACAGTTTGATCGTTTTAACTTAAAAGAGAAACATTTATCATACAATGCCTACAACATGCATGGTACCAACACTTTTTTAAACTCACTTAGGTTTGTGGGACCTGAAGAATTCAGCACTGGCAGGCCACCAGCAATGCTAGCACGTGAACACTTACTGCAGACCCGCTCAGGTCGCTTCGCTTAGCAACAGTTGGCGAACTCAAGTAGGAGTTTATTCGGTATCAGGCTCTGCCACTGTTAAGTGCTCCGAGCTGCTGCCCCGTGTGAAGGACGTAAATATTGGGACATATGTGCATGCGACCGGCAGGAAGGTGGAAGGCGAACGAGATGGACCTTGGTCTTTTGTCGTCTAGCATTTCGTATGTTCTTATAAATGCAAATTGTTGTTGTTATTTTGGGATTAGGGAGGCTGGCAGACCATTTCACAATGGTAATCAAATTATAAAACTATCATTTTGTTCTCGTTTCAATTTCGACGGACGAACATCTTTTAAAGATCGCTTCTCCCGGAAATCTGCTGCCCTCATCAGGTGCCGAGTTTGCCAATAGCTAAAGCCACCCCTGTTCACACACCTTATTAGCTTGAAGTACTAACTTGGTTAGGACAACATATCCACTGGGATTTTGGCTTGCAATGTTAAAGGCTTATCTACATCTTCAAGTCTCACCGATGAACCACTTAGGCTGGTCAACTATCAGGAATGCCTTAGATTATTGCGTACCTGGCTGTATGTCTCCTCAAAACCATTTTTAAATGTGGGAAGATCCTACACGATCCTGGGACGTCCTCCTGACGTGAAAGGCGCTTTATAAATGGAATCTTGTTGTTGTTGTTGTTGTACACCTCACTCTCCTAACAGGTAGGCATTAAACAGACATGCTTTGTTGAATCATCAATAAAGGTGATGGGCTCATTTGATATTTAACATGGACTCAAACCGTTTGGGTTTCTGGCCTTCAACTAAATTGTGCTGCATCTAAACATCTCCGTAATAACACCCTTATACATCTAAAAATACATTGAGGTCTTCTTTGTCTAGAAATGAATATCCTCCAGATGTAATAATAATCATCGCATTAGATATTGTACCTTTCACATTGGGAGTATGTCTCAAAGAGCTTAACAGGATTGTAAAGTGTAAAGTGTTCTTAATGTGTATTTTTTGTAGTCTCTCTCCATGGTTTTTTTTTGTGCAGTCTCTGCATGGAGAGACATATTCTGCTTACCTAATTCTGGAGAGTTTTAGGCACAAGTCGGCAAGAGCCAACGTTTGCATTACTATATTAAACAGACTGTATTGCTGGTGTTTAATCAACTAATGCAAATAGGCAGATTACAGTCATAGAACCATGAAATTTGGTCCATCATATCTGTGTTGATCCTCAATAATCTGAAGGTATCTCCAATGAACGCTGAAAGGATTGATCAATGGCAAATATGAAATTGCTCCCATTTGATAAAAGATACTAAAGATATTTTTCGAGATTAAACTCCAATTAAATTTCTCAACAGAGACTCCCAAAAGAACTGGAATATGTCATCTTTGTACCTACCATTGTTAAAGTTTTCTGTTTCTAAGCCGTTAGCAGACATTTTTCAGCCCAAAATGGGTATTGATTCTTTAAGGCATTCTTCCGTCTTCGTGTATTTTGTTTTTACAAAAAGAGAAAATTCGGCGTCTTGGAATTCTGAGTACCATAATCAGCCTCGAAGCAAACTGCTCGGACTCGAGTTCCCGCAGGTCGATGTGCTGCAAAACCAGTTACCAGCAGGATTCAATGTTTTTTTTTAGGTTAACCAAGTGTCTGACACACGTGGAAACCTATCACCATGCATAAGAATATCCAAACCAGACTGAGAGTTGCACATATGCATCTCACTGACACGGGGAAATGTCTCTGTATCTTGAATGGAATGCACACTCTCTCCTTGGAGAGATACAGCCTGCCTTCCTAATTCCAGAGAGTATTCAGCGCAGGTTGGCAAGAGCCAAAGTTTGGGGACAGAGCGTTTTTGGGGGTTTTGCTGGAGTTTAACCAGCTACAAATACATTGACACTGAGAGCATCATCTGGTAATGATAATAATAATAATAATAATATTAGTAATAATAATCCTTGCATTTGATAAAGCATTTTATCAAGTCTTTGAGATGTTTCGAAGAATATACTGTAAAGTGAATTGACTGTATATTTTGTGGGCAAAATGTGGCAGCCAATTACGTATAGCAGTGTCCCACAGACAGTCGTGGATTGAGTGACCAAATTATTTTCATTTATTTTGAAGGAAGTATTACGCCCGAAAAAGCGATCCACCAATCGACTAACCACCGGGTTCCTACCTAATGCTTGGTAAATAGGCATCTAAGGAAACTTGCCCAATGTTTCACCCGGCCCGGGAATCAAACCCAGATCATCTCGCTTGCGAGGTGAGTGCTCTCACCACTGAGCTTGCCCCTGCATGGTAAGCTTCCCACTGCCTGGCCAACTAAGACCACTCAACCAGTTGGGTTTCAATACTTCAAGGATTCACTGCTTACAAATCAGAGCCATGAATACTGTGTTTTATGCCCCATTGGTATTCCATAGTATTTGATAATCTTTCACTGTACATTTCCTTATAACCATCACTCAGTCATTTTGACAAGCTATGTGATTTTAGCTGGTAAACCTCCAGCACTACCCCAACGCACACTCTGGGGTCTCATAGTCTTGGCTCCCGTCAACCTGTGCTGAATATTATGAGATAAACAGGATACATCTGTTCAGGAAAAGAGTGCGTATTCCATTCCAGACACAGGGAAATTTCTATGTGGAAGTGGCATACATAAATGGAAATGAAGAGGGAGGGAAGATGATCAAAGAGGATCTTAAGATGTTTTAAGAGGTAAGACAAGGTGGGCTTTAAATGTGTGGCGGTAGGGGGGACTTCTTGATGGATTTCCAGAGAGTAGGGGCAGAATGTCTGAAAGTCTGCCCAATCATGGTGGGAAAAGTCAGACAGGGGACACGAAGCAGGTCAGTGTTGGCTGAGCAAAAGGAGCAACCAGGTCAACAGAGATGCAGAAAGTCACATTCTTCCAACTAACGTTATACTTATATCTGATCTCATAAGCACGTTTTGTCAAGTTGCGCATTAGTAATAATAATAACCTTTACGTTTCACGTGGCGGCTTTTACATCGGGAGGAAGCCTGAAAACACTCCACAGGATTCACTTTAATAATGTAACCAGTTCGTACCTCAGCAAAGTCTCACAATCATAAGCCTTTCATGTCGGGAGAAGTTTCAAAGCACTTCAGAGAATATATTGTAAAGCGTAGTCACTGTTTATTCTGTAGAGGAACGCAGCAGCCAGTTTGCGTACAGTAATGTCCCACAAATAGCTATGGAGTGTGAGTGACCAGTTTTATTGGGGGAGGGGGGAAGGGGGTGTTGGGTCTGGACACGAGGAGAAACTCACCTATCTTTTTTGAAGAGCATTCAAGACACTAACCTGTATGAAGGCACTGTATAAATGCAAATTGTTGTTGATGTTGTTGTTGCCTGTACAGGCATTTCTACACCCATGACGATTCCAATGCTGCCCAGACCCAAAGGCTCTGAAGGGGGCTACGTAAATGCAAATTGTTGTTGTTGCCACTAAAAAGGTTATCCCTGCTGGTTCAAATTTTGCGGTGGTCCAAAAATATTTTTTTACTGTCTACCTTTTTGTCCAGTCACCACTTTGGTTCAAAGAGCTATGTGGTGGAATCCACTCTGGGTCGTAAAATCAAGGTTATGTTTTCACCAACACAGCTTTCTTTCTTTGTTTTGTACTTTCTTTGTTTTGTACTTTCTTTGTTTTGTACTTCCTTCCTTCCTTTCTTTCTTTGTTTCTTTCTTTCTTTCTTTCTTTATGTGTTTGTTTGTTTGTTTGTTTATTTATTTATACACATAAAAAAAACTTCATCTGGTCAGTGGTTCAGAAGTTTGGAGTGGCAGTGTTTGCCTGTTAAGTGAAAAGGTGACTTCTCGCGCCATAATAACGTGCTTGGAATCTAACGAAATGAGGCAAAAAGTGGGTGGATGAAGTCTAAACTTTGTTGATTTATTTTTCACATTGTTTAATTTTGCACGTCCAAGTCACGACCCAGGAGGATTTTATATATATATATAGATATATAGATATATATTGTTTGCACAGTTCCCTGCAATTGGCAATTAATATGACTGAGCAAATTGGCCACTTCACACAGTGAGTGAGAGAGAGAGGGAGGGAAGGAGAGGGAAAGAGAGAGGGAGGGAAGAAGAGGGAGGGAGAGATGGAGGGAGGGAGACCTGATGGTATCACGCGCACACATCCCTGCGATGATGGAGACGGTGATTTCTGGCAGCTGATCGGATGACTTACGTCTGTGATTTCCTGACGTCTGTTGTGCAGTAAGAGAAGCGAGAGAAAAAAAACCCTCGGCAGAGCCCGGGGCTGGGGTATGGGATGGGATGGGAGGGAGGGAGGGAGGGGAGGGAGGGAGGGAGCGAGAGAGGATGGAGAGGAATCGTACTGAAACCCAGAGCTGTCAGGTCGTGACTTCTATTCCACGCTCTGATTAAACACGGCTTTACGCACAACCGCAACTGTCTCACTTAATGACATCTTCCCAATTTACCTCGAAGCCACCATCCCATTTAAGTCACACACACACACACACACATACCCACACACACACCCACACACAAACACACGCACACACAACACAAACACATCCACACACACACCCACATACAAACACACCCACACACAAACACACACAAACACATCCACACACAACACAAACACACAAGCACACTCACACACAAACATACCCACACACAAACATATCCACACACACACACACACAAACACATCCACACACACACATCCACACAACCCCACACAGACACACACATACCCACACACACACACACAAACACATCCACACACAACAAACACACACACACATCCACACACAACACAAACACCCACACACAAACATACCCACACACACAAACACATCCACACACACACACCCACACACAAACACACACACACAAACACATCCACACACACACACCCACACACACCCACACACAAACATACCCACAGACACAAACATATCCACACACACATCCACACACACACACACACATCCACACACAGACACACACACACATCCACACACAGACACACACACACATCCACACACACACACACACACACACAAACACAAACACCACAACAAAAAAGGAAGGAAAAAAGTTTGGGTTTGGGATCTGCAGTCTGGGTTTATTCTCATGGGTTTCTCTCTCTGGATGATTATCCTCACTTCTTCCAGTTCTTGCTGCTGTTTTTCCATACCCAGGCGACCAAAAAACACTGAGACGATTGGGACAGGATTTCGAGGCAAAACAAAAAAAAGAGAGAGAGGAAAGAAAAAGAAAGAAGGAGAAAGTAGGAGCTTATATCAAGTACGATATGGTTGGCATTTACTACAGTTTCCACCCCTCCACCCTTTCTCTCTCTCTCTCTCTCTCTCTCCTCTCTCCTCCCATCCTCACATCCCCCATCCTCAGCCCATCTGACAAGAGAGGGAGGGAGGGAGGAGGGAGGGAGGGAGGGTGGGGGTGTGGGTTGATTTGGATGCTCACTATCTTGCCTTCACAGTCACTGTCACACTTCAGTCCTTGTGTGTGTGTGTGTGTGTGTGTGTGTGACTGTGTGGCTCTGCGTTCTGGGGGGGGGACTTGGTCCAGTGGTGTGTGAGGGTGTGAGTGTGAGAGAGGAGGGGTGTGGGAGGGAAGAAGGAAGAGGAGGAGGAGGAGGACAGCACTAAATTGCTGAGAAATTAAGGAATTGCAGATCGCAGCCTCTGTGGTGTCGGGAGATCCTGATCACAGCTCCAGTCAGCTCTGAAGAAGTCTCTCTAGTTATTTTATATATATATATATATATGTATATATATATATGTAGTCCCAGGGTTTGTGCGCGATTCAGGCAGATTCAGCATCAGGACCAGAACCATCTCCTGGATGTTTCTGTAAAGTGTCGGCATCTCCAGCAGCTGAAAAGCCATCAGTAACATCATCAGCATCAGCACCAACGCCAACATCAGCATCAACACCAACGCCAACATCAGCATCAACACCAGTATCAGCATCAGCACAACATCAGCACAACATCAGCATCAACATCAGCATCAACACCAGTATCAGCATCAGCACAACATCAGCATCAGCACAACATCAGCATCAGCACAACACCAGCACAACACCAGCACAACATCAGCACAACATCAGCACAACATCAGCTCCAGCATCAGCACAACATCAGCACAACATCAGCATCAGCACAACATCAGCATCAGCACAACACCAGCATCAGCACCAACATCAGCACAACATCAGCATCAGCACAACATCAGCACAGCACCAGCACCAGCAGCACCAGCACCAGCGGGTCATGGCATCTCTGGGTTTCTGGTCTCACGGGGCGGCTCAGCGACCCGACAACACGGCAGACAATTCCACCACAGGTACGTCCCGTCCCACCACCGACCCACAGGAACCCGGTGCTCAAAGGGGGGAAATCAGATCAAATGGGGCGTTTGAGTAAAGACGGGAAAACACGAGAGGGTTCAATCCTGTTTCCTCCCCAGGCAACAGGGTGGGGGGGGGGGGGGGGGGGGGGGGGGGGGGGGGGGGGGGGGTGTTTGGGGTGGGGGGTGTTTGGGGTGGGGGGTGTTTGGGGTGGGGTGTGGTGGGGGGGGAGGTGTGTGGGGTGGGTTTGGGGTGGGGGGTGTTTGGGTGGGGGGGAGGTGGTTGGGGGTAGTGTTTGGGGTGGGGGGGGGGTGTTGGGGTGGGGGGGTGTTTGGGGTGGGGGGTGTTTGGGGTGGGGGGTGTTTGGGGTGGGGGGGTGTTTGGGGTGGGGGGTGTTTGGGGTGGGGGGTGTTTGGGGTGGGGGGTGTTTGGGGTGGGGGGTGTTTGGGGTGGGGGGTGTTTGGGGTGGGGGGTGTTTGGGGTGGGGGTGTTTGGGGTGGGGGGTGTTTGGGGTGGGGGGTGTTTGGGGTGGGGGGTGTTTGGGGTGGGGGGGTGTTTGGGGTGGGGGGTGTTTTGGGGGTGGGGGGGTGTTTGGGTGGGGGGGGGAGGTGGTTGGGGGTAGTGTTTGGGGTGGGGGGTGTTTGGGGTGGGGGGTGTTTGGGGTGGGGGGTGTTTGGGTGGGGGGGGGAGGTGGTTGGGGGTAGTGTTTGGGGTGGGGGGTGTTTGGGGGGGGGGGTGTTTGGGGTGGGGGGTGTTTGGGGGTGGGGGGTGTTTGGGTGGGGGGGGGGAGGTGGTTGGGGTAGTGTTTGGGGTGGGGGGTGTTTGGGGTGGGGGGTGTTTGGGGTGGGGTTTGGTGTGTGGGTTTGGGAGAGAAAGTAAAAAGATCACAGTGAGAATCAGTGCTTTTCTCACAAATCCTCTCGTTCGCCTTTTCTTGTTGGGTTGTGTTTGGGCGGAATGAGAGAGAGATGGAGAGATGGAGAGAGAGAGAGAGTGAGGGGTGAGCTCTGTGGGAGCTGTGAGCAGAGAACAAAACCCTGTTCTTTTTTTAAATGGAACAGGTTGTTTATTAGAGGCTCTGAAACAGCACAGTTTAAAGAGATAGAGAAACACACACAGACAGACACACACACACACACAGACACACACACACACACACACACACAGACACACACACACAGACACACACACAGACACACACAGACAGACACACACACACACAGACAGACACACACACAGACACACACACACACAGACACACACACACACAGGCACACACACACAGACACAGACAGACACACACACAGACACAGAGACACACACACAGCCATGCTCACACACACACAGACACACACACACACACACAGACATGCTCACACAGACACACACACACAGACATGCTCACACAGACACACAGACAGACACACACAGACATGCTCACACACACACACACAGACACACACACACACAGACACACACACACGCAGACACACACACACACAGACATGCTCACACACACACACAGCAATGCTCACACACACACACAGCAATGCTCACACACACACACACACACAGCAATGCTCACACACACACACAGCAATGCTCTCACACACACACACACACAGTCATGCTCACACACACACACGGACATGCTCACACACACACACAGTCATGCTCACACACACACACAGTCATGCTCACACACACACACACAGACATGCTCACACACACACACAGTCATGCTCACACACACACACAGTCATGCTCACACACACACACACAGACATGCTCACACACAGACACACACACACAGACAGACACAGACATGCTCACACACAGACACACACACAGACACACAGACATGCTCACACACACACAGCCAGTCGATGCCACTGGAATTACTAATTGCTCCCAAGAAAGCACTTCCGAACATTCAGCATCGTTTCCACTTTGTGTTGTTGTGCGACTGAAACCCGAAATGTTTGCCCGAGGCGTAAAATCGCTCTTCCTTAAAACAGCGAATGTCAGGGCCTGGGAACGTTTCGCTGAATCTCATGACTGAGGTGCAAAAGCCAACACTGTGGCGGGTGGGAGTCGCTGTTTACTTCATTGTATCCAGTTATTGCCGAAGGTTGATGTCCCTTTGCATGCGACAATAACCCTATTTAGTAAAGGATTTTTAACAGCATTGATTGCAAGTATAAACGACCTCATATCTTGCAGAGGAACCCGCCAAGGATCACTTTAAACCCTCGACACCAAACCGATCTATAAGTTGCTCGGAGCTAACTGCTTGATAAGAGCCTGTTCCAAAGTGTCATTTTATTTCAGGTCAACTTTTTTCCAATCGACTGTGGACACAGTTCTCTCCCCATTCACAAGGATTTCGTCCCTTTGTTTTGTTGCAGAAATAAACTCCGTTTATTTCACAAAGGGACTCCTCCTTGAGGTCGATCAGCTTTTCTTCTTAGTCCTTTCGAGCAAAACTGAGGGTTGAAGAGGTCTGTAAATTAGAGTTGGGAGGGACAAGGACAGGACAGGGGAAGGAATGGAGTTCAAAGCATTGATACAGTCCTGTCTTATGTTCGCAGCCAATGCCTGGTGTCAGATGGCTCAGAAGTTTACAGGTGGAATTGGATCGAAGCTTTGTGGTGAGTGGTCCTAATTCACTTCTGTTGGGGGCACTGGTTACAAATAACAGTTGCCTTTAATTTAATATCATTTTACCGTGTTGTTGCCTTATTTGTTTTCTGTAACCTGTGCTTAGATTTTGCTGAGGTCCCGAAAATAACTGAGGGCATTTGATTTGAGACGTTAGCGAAACCGCCACAATGAGAGACTTGAACCAAACAAACAGTTGAACCACAGTGAATTGGCTGTGTATTTTGTGGGTGTTTCGCCCACAAAATATTCAGTCAATCCACTTTACAATATAGTCTGTGGAGCGCTTTGAGACGTCTCAACGAAGTGATAAGATGCTATATCAAATGGAAGGATTATTATTATTATCATAAATAGACCAGTGGGCTCATCATCTCTGAGGACTTTTTATGAATGATAATCTACTGGCGTTAAGGCAGTTGCTTCCTGTTGTCAGTTCATTCAATCCTCCAAGTCAAGGTCTGAAAAAATATCTGAAAAATAAAGTCTCAGCTCAAAAACAGTGAGAGGACGATTTGTATGTTTATTAAGGTTTTTTTAAAAAAAAATCACAAATGGAAACAGATGTGTTTGGTAAATCATCCCCTCTTCATATACTAACGATTTGAACCTAAGGTTCTAAGCAAAAACCAAGAAACTAAAAATGCCAAACATTTTTCTGAAGGGATGTGGTCACGTAGCAGAAATGGAATGTTTGGTGCCTTTGATTTGAGTGACAGCAAAGATTTTCAGCACAGTCCGTCTCCTCCACCCCACTCCCCCGTTAGAATTGACAACCATTAACTACCCCATTACCTATCTGCGTTGATCAGCTGAGATTTTGCCATTGTCTGTAAATATTTCACCTTCTACATCTTGGATTTCATTACGTTTAACCCTTTATAAGGCCATGGCATACTCTGATTCTGGCAAGTTAATGTTTTAGTTGAAATTATGTTTTAAAATTATGCCTTCGCCGATAACACAAGTACTTAGATGTCAAAATACAGCTCAAGATCCGCACAAGCCATTGTTTTTTTCCTTCTTGTTTAATCTTGAAAGAGGAACAAATTAATTTCGTTTTTTCCCAGTGAAGGCTGAGAGCCGACCTTTTTAAAGTACCAACAGAAAGATCTTTGTTATCTGCCAGAATCGCTAAGATGTCCGATGAAGCGTTTAAGTGGAGTACATCATAGAGAGCTTGTCACGCTGTCAAAAATATAGCATCTGCCGTACTATTGGTACCTCACCCAGATTCACCACTACAACTATGCTGTCTACACACACTTGTTCGTTTATCTACTATTATAATTGCCCGCACACAATTACATCCCACTGCCCCACGCGCACATACACCATTAAACCACCACTTACTTACCCTAAGGCACCACTACACTACAATATACACCTGTACATTACACACCATGATACTATTCAGACACCAACCTACACAACACAATTACCTTATGTATCCACTGACATATCATTAACCCCATACTCCGCCACCCACATATATCACAATGCATCACTACCGCCAACAACAACAACAACCTGCATTTATATACCATCCCTCATGCAGGGTAGCGTACCAGAGAGCTTGACATTACCCACATCCCACCAGTGCTCCCACACACACACACACAATTATACCATCTGGAACTTAAACATGAAGGCTTCAACATGAATAATGGCCATTTGGGGAAGCCAATGGAAAATGACTGTTGCCTCGCCATGTCTGGTGGTAGAGGCAGAGTCCATTGTGGGTTTCAAGAGGTAAATAGGATAGTGAAGGAAGGAGGCTTGATGGTGTATTGCAATAAGGCAGGACAGTGGCATTCAATCAACACCTTGCTCTGAGATCTCATGGAGACTCGATGGGATGAATAGCCGGCTTTCTTCCTTGTCGAAAATTTCTGTGATTCTACGAAATACCCCATCACGGAGAAGGATGTATGTGGCTTACAAACAAACATATAACTTGAATAAACTTCTCTCTCTCTCTCATACTGATTAAAAGAACCTAAGGTTTGATCGCTGGTCTGTGCAGATTAAGTTGAATTCACCTTGGGATGATGGTTAAGAAACACCCTACAAATTGGTTGCATCACCCCGTGGTTGGAAGGTGAAAACTCAGTTTGAGTTCCTGTTTTTTTTCATTATTATTCAATGAGCCCGGATGAAAAGAGCATATGCACGGATGTTGGGTGAAGATTACTTTACACTAAGCGGTAATTTCCCCCATCTCTCACAACGTCGACCCAGAGAGAAATGCATATCCCATCAACACTCCTGGTGTGGACTTGCAATGTATAGAATAACCGCTTGAGCAAGGTAGCAGAGAGTTGAACTGCAACTGTGCTTTATCTTCAGTTAGGATAGGAAGAGAGGGTGAGTGGAAATGCCAGCAAGAAAAAAGGAAATTGGGATTACAAACATAATTTAATGAATTAAACAAATAAATTATAATAAAATATAATATTTAATCATTTTCCAGCGGTAATAACCCCTTCAAAAATAATAATAATAATAATTTGGTCACTCAATTCATGACTATTTGTGGGACGCTGCTGTGCACAATAAGATGCCGAGTTTCGCTCACAAAATACACAGTCAGTCACTTCGCAGTATATTCTGTGAAGCGTTTTAAGACGTTTCAACGTCATGAGAAGGCGCTGTATCAAATGCAAGGGATTATTATTATTATTAGAATTTACAATTGTGCTTTATTGGTTTTATTGATCGCAGCATTCTTGTATGGTGATGGGCAAAGACCTGCAGGGACTGTGGTTAAGGAGGAAACAGCATCCATGGAATCCAACCTGGCCTGCAACTGCAACAAGACCCCGTGTGCGTGTCAGAATGTTCAAATCAACTTTTCCCTCCTGCACGCAATAGGTAAGGTATCTTTGTGATATAATGAAACACCTTTCAAATTAACTTCTTCCATCCTTGCATTATATTGGCAGATTCAAAAATTAGGTGCATGACATTATTTATGTGTTCGCCTGCAAAAAATTGTTTTGTACTTCGAGTTCACATCGATCAGGATCTGGATAGAGATGACCTGAACTCACGTTTGTCAGAACCTACAGTGACCATTAAACTCTCAAGCCTTTGATTTTAATCATGCATCGTGTTTCCAGAATATCATTCCTGAGCCAGGTGGGTCCACAGTACCCCAGGGCACTGTTGATGACAGCCCAGATAGCCTTGCTTTATTGACAGGATTTGGAAGGGCAGACCAGTCATTTGGGGAATGGAATCCTCCCACTCAGTTCCCGTTCACTCTGCAATCCAAAGCCCTACCAGGTACTGGGTGGTCCTAGCTAGACAAGCAGGAAAGCTTGCCAGACAGTGCTATTAATGGCAAGCTATGCAGTTTTAGCAGTATTCCAAGTCCCTAATACTTTCCGGAATTAGGTAAGCAACAATAACAACAACAGCAGGTTTACATTTGTATAACACCTTTCACGTCGGAAGGACGTCCCAAGGCGCTGGACAGTGTACAGCATTTCAGACCCGAGCTGAGGTCAGGGGGGGAGAAGGGAGGGGAGAGGAGGGGGGAGTGACTGATGGCATGGTCGAAGAGGAGGGTTTTGAGGCGGGACTTGAAGGAGGCTAAGGAGGGGGCGAGGGGGAGTGATTGGGGGATGGAGTTCCAGAGGTTGGGGGCAGAGTGGCTGAAGTGGTGCGGGTGGGTCGAGGGACGTGGAGCAGGCCGGAGCCGGCTGAGAATGGGTGGGTTGGTAGGGGGTTAGGAGGTCACAGAGGTAGGGTGGGGCACGGCCATGGAGGGCTTTGTAGGTGAGGACCAGGATCTTGAACTGGATCCTCTGAAGGATAGGGAGCCAATGGAGTCGGGTGAGAATGGGGGAGATGGGGTCATGGAGTTTGGTGCGGGAGAGGACACGGGCTGCAGAGTTCTGGATTATCTGCAGCCTGTGGAGGGGGGAGTTGGGAAGGCCGACAAGCAGGGGGTTTGCATAGTCGAGCCTGGAGGTGATGAAGGCATGAACAAGAGGTAGTGGCGGAGTCGGGCGGTGTTACTGAGGTGAGGGAAGGCAGAGCGGGTCATGGCTTGGATGTGGGAAGAAAAGACAGTTGAGGGTCGAACAAGACACCTCGGTTCCTGACTGGCTTGGTCAGTCAGCTGGATGTGTCCCTCCAGGGAGAGAGTGCGCATTCCATTCCAATAAACATCTCTGGTATTTCCATGTATAGGTGGAATGCATGGAATTCTCAGTTTGGTTTGAATGCTCCCAAGGTGTCAGACATACAACTGACCAAAAAAAAGAATATCATTGGATAAGACTCAGAATTTCTCTTTGCCTCAAGGGAAGTGTCCTTGTCCATCCTTCAGATGAGATGTTATAGCAAATTCCCATCTGTCTCTCTGTTCAGGTGGATGTTAAAGATTCCATGGACTATTCAAAAAGAGAAGGAAGGTTCCCATTGTGTACTGGCGTCTAGAATAAAATATCTAGATAAAGTTGGTCACTCGCTTCATGGCTGTTTATGGGACATTGTTGTATGCAAATTGGCTACTATATTCACCTAGAAATACACAATCATACACTTTATAATAAATTCCGTGGTGTGATAAGCATTGTATCAGCTGCAAGGATCATTATTGACAGAATTGTTTTAAACATTAAGATTGGGCAATTTTGGAATTATTTTAAAAAATCAATCCTAATTTGTTAGCTACTTTTTTTGCAGTTCTTGAGTAAAATAGTCCAACTGTAGCTATCCAATGTCCAACTCAATTCCAACACGACTAATCTATTTTTACATTCAAAGCCTCTGTTTATATATCCCGGAACATTATTTGCCTCCTTAAAAGATTTTTGTACTTGGCAACTCAGGTTCAGTGATTTACGTACTTGTACGCCAGTTCACTTTGCTCCTCCAGGCCACTGAATGTCGTAACCTTCAGTTTGTACTTCCACCACTCCCTATTTTTTTCCCAAATGGCAATGCAAGTAACTTATCAGTGTTAAACTGCATCTGCCACTCGCTGGAACATAGGAACAGGAACAGCTGGACTAGTTAGCTGGCTCTCAGGGCGCTCGTGAAGTTAATGCAGTCTTTTACACAATTTGCTAATCCATCTAATTTAGTAACGTCAGCATATTTGCACACAACCCCTCCTATATCCACATCCAAGTTATTAATGTGTATTTTAAAAAGCTGCAGTGCTAATATGGACACAACTAGTTACATCTTGTCAGAATTAGAAACATCCATGAATTCCCACTCTGTATTCTGCTCCTGCCTCCTTCTGTACACTTTACTACTCAACATTAATAGTTTGATACTCAATCTCTTATGAAGCACTTTATCAAAGCCAATGACTATTGATGTTCCTCGGGCGATGAGTGTCTCTATTCTGGATACCTTGCAATTCACATAAACCAGTAATGAAATCAAGAAATGTTCTTTTAATATTCTAAATGTGTCAATAAAAACAAGCTATTGTGGCCACATGACAAGATGGATTTAGTTCTACACTAAATTTGTAGGGCTACAGGATAAGAACGGGGGTGTGGGACTAGCTGGATAGCTGTTTCAAAGAGGGCAACGATTTAGGGCTATTTATAACGAAAAAGAGGATTTCTTTTAAGCAGAGGATTATTAGGATCTGGAATGCTAACAACTGGAAAAGAAAATATAAAAAGTTATGTGCAAAACTGGGAATAAACAGACAGCTACTGTGGAGAGCCAACAGGGCCATAATGGCCCAAATGTCCTTCTTCTGTCCTGAATAATAATAATCCTTGCATCGTGGTCGAGACATCTCAAAGCGCTTCACAGGATATACTATGAAGTGGATTGACTATGTATTTTGTGCACAAAATGTGGCAGCCAGTTGTGCACAGCAGTGGAGTGAGTGACCAATGTTGTTTGTGGGATTGTTGGGCGGGACACTGGGAGAAACTCTCTTCTCTTTTTGAATAGTGCCAAGGGATCTTTAAGATCCACCTGAACAGGCAGACGGGACCTTGGTTTAAAGTGTCATCCGACGGACGACATCTCTGAGAATGCAGTATACCCACAGAGCTGCACTGGGTTATCAGATCCAATAAGAATTATCACCCTTGCTCAGTTGGTAGCATTCTCACATCTGAGTCAAAGGTTGTGGGTTCAAGCCCCCACATCAGGACTTTGGACTCAAAGTCTAGGCTGACACTCCAGTGCAGTGCTGGAATTCAAGATCCTCATCCTCACCTATAAGGCCATTCATGGACTCGCTCCTTCCTACCTCTCCGACCTACTATCACCCTACCTACCTGCCAGTACCCTCCGTTCCTCTGGCTCCGGTCTGCTCCACATCCCCCGCCCCAACCACCCTACCATCGGTGGCCTTCAGCCTCTCAGCCCCGAGGTTCTGGAACTCCATCCCCCAGTGCCTTCGCCTTGCCTCCTCCCTTTCCTCCTTCAAGGCCGGTCTCAAGACCTTTCTCTTTGACCGTGCCTTCAGCTCCCCTCTTGACTCTCTACCCCCTCCTCGCTCCCTCCCTTCCCTCCCCTCACCATTTCCCCCCTCCTCGCTCCCTCCCTTCCCTCCCCTCACCCTGACTATTTTTCCCCCCAAGGGTCCTGACCCAACTGTCCAGCGCCTTGGGACGTCCTCCCGACGTGAAAGGCGCTCTATAAATGGAATCTTGTTGTTGTTGTTGTGGAGATGCTACACTGTTGGAGGTGCCATCCTTTGGATGAAAAGTTAAACCAAGGTCCCATCTGCTTGCTCAGGTGGACATCCCACGGCACTTATTCAAAAAGATAAGGGAGCTTCTCCTAGTGTTCTGGCCAACAATCCCCCAAATAAAGTTGGTTATTCACTTCATGGCTATTTATGGGACATTGCTGAGTGCAAATGGGTTGACTTTTTTCCCAACAAAATACACAGTCTTTACACTTTACGATATTGCTTTGAGATCTCTCAAAGCCGTGATAAGTCGCTATATCAGATGCAAGGATTATTATATAATTTTTATGTATCCTGCGAAGCACTTTGAGATATCTTCCTGACATGATAAGCAATATACCAAATGCAAAGATTATTATTAGAAATTCTGTGATCACCGGTGAAAATGATCACATCACACAGTGCATCTTTACCCTACATTAGATAAGAGAAAGAAATATGTTGCAAAAATTGTTGAGTGTGATTCTTATTGGTTTACTTTGCAAATTGTTATTGCTTCAAAGATTTCTCGAGACAAACCATTCACAGATCAAATTAACCTTATCAGCTGAAAGAACAATACATCACATGCCACTATTTGAAAAGAAAAAGGAATTTCTCCTAGTCTTCTGGCCAACAATCCCCAAATAAAAACTGGTCACACACTTCATGGGTGTTTATAGGTCATTGCTGTGTGCAAATTAGCTACCACATTTACCTACAAAAATGCAGTCACTACACTATAGAGTAGATCCTTATAATGCTTTGAGATGTCTTCCCAGTGTGAATGACACCATGTTAAATGCAACAACAACAAATGTGAAATGCACAGTGAAGCATTTTTTGCACCTGAGCTGGGGGTTGGGATCAGGAGAGGTGCAAAACAGGGAGGGTGGGGGTAAGATGGTGACCGAAGGCACGTTCAAGCAGGAAGACAGGCCTTGAAGGAGTCACAGGAGCGAGCAAGGCCAAGGGACTATGGGATGGAGTTCCAAAGCGTGGGGATCGAAAGGCTGAATGCACGACTGCCAATGGTGGGGTGGGCAGAGCTGGGGACGTGGAGTGAGTGGGTTAAGTCGGCATGGAGTTAGCAGATCACAGAGGCTGGGGGGAGCAAGGCCGTGGAGGGCTTTGAAAGTAAGGACAAGGATTTTGAACTCTACCCTCTGAGGGATAGGGAGCCAGTGGAATTAGGCCAGGATAGCGG